GAAGGGGGGTGGGGCTCATCTCCTCCCCCCCTGACACCACACACGGTGGGCCGCCGCAGGAGGGGGGAGCCGGGGATGCGGCGGGGGGCGGGACGCGGGGCTGTGGATGTCAGAGAGAGAGAGAGAGAGAGAGCTGCGCGCGAGAGAGAACCATTCGCTTTAACCTTGCAAAAGGCAGCGGGTGGAGGAATCAAAGCGGGGAGATGAGGCGAGGAAGAAGAAGATAAGGAGCTGGAGCAGCAACTCGTCCTTACGCTTCTTGTCTCCATGGGACGGAGGGCAGTGGAGCTTTGAATAGTCACACTGTTAAGGCAACCGCAGGAGTCCTACCGCACCTCACCCCAAACTTCCCCGACTCCCGCACGGACTAGGTGCTTCTGGGGAAATGAACGCCAGCCTCTGAAACATACCTAGCCCTCGCTGCTTCTCCGCTAAGAAGACAAGCCGCCTCTCGTAGGGCTTCCATGTCACCCTCAGGATTAATAGTTACTGTCGATGGTCTTATTCGCCGTGGATTAGCCAGGCTCCTATTAAAGGTGGATGAGGATAACCTTTGTTTGCAAAGTGACGGCTGTACTGCCTTTGGCTAGTCTGAATCTTCTGGTTCTAAAACTATGAGAGATGGAGAAAGCTTTGCTCGGTGCAGTACATCGCTTTACACACCACTGTCTTGCCCCATTCATTGCTCTTCCAGATTAAATAGTTCCCAATAGTGTAAATTTCTTCCTCATAAGGGAATTGCTTCATCCCTGCCCTTTCCAGTTAAATCTCATTCTTTTTGGAGATGTTGGGCAAGTACTTACAGTCAGTCCAATATCGGCAGGACTATTTTTGCTTGCTTTCTTAATGACCCCCCAAAATGGACATTGTATTTTCTATAGTCAGTGTGCTTAGAATACATAGTGTTATATTGTATAGACAGATCCTGGGGCAGGGTGTCAATAGGCAGCCCTTGTTTGTGTTTGGTTCCCCCACTTCCCTGCAGCAGTTTCCCTGTACTATTTCTTCAGGGAATAGTAGTATTGAATTTTCTAAATTGGCCTATTGTCCTCAGATAGGTTAGAAGACATGATTCTAGCATTCATTTATCAGTCAAGTCAGTTTCTGTAGCTCAGGTTGCAGGACTTCCTCTATCTCGGGTAGTAAAATGTCTCAGACCAGCTGTGCACTAGGTCAGTATTTTTATCAACTACCCCTCCATACCACAAAGCTTTTCTTTTCTGACTACCAGCTTAGACCACCGGTTGATACTTGAAGTTTGGATTTATTTATTTATTTGTTTGTTTGTTTGTTTATTTATTTGCTCCGTGCTTATCTTTTTAGACCACCGGTTGATACTTGAAGTTTGGATTTATTTATTTATTTATTTATTTATTTATTTATTTATTTGCTCCGTGCTTATCTTTTTCCACTTGTTTACAGTGAACCTTATTAAAGTGTGTATACATACAGGGGAATTTGGAGTAAAGTTGACCTAAAATAAAAGCCAATTTGTTTTTAGAGAGAATGATACATTTTTTTTTCTTTTATAGAAAACAGAGGTCATAGAGGAAGCTTTTCCTGGGTAAGTGTGATTTAACTATTTCCTAGTATAATTGTAGAGATTCTGTTGTAGTTACTAGTGATAGAATACTTTATAAATAATTTGGCTTTACTTGTATTAGCATGTTTATGGATACACCAGAAGATGAGCGAACTAAATTAATCAGCTGTTTGAGTGCCTTTCGACAGTTCTGGAGCAATCTTTCCCAGGTGAGTATTTTATTTGTTGCTTATACTTTTTTTTAATGACATCCAATTACAATCTGTCCGATCATTTCATAAGTTGACAGATCAGCTTTTCATAATATTCATAACATTTTCTGTCAATAACTTGGCTATCTGTAAGTTCCCTGACAGAGCTTCTAATACTTAAACAGGCAAATTCTGATGAGCAGCTTATGGATAGGATATGTTATCCTTTTCTAAGAGGATTGTCCATCTCTTTTCTACTGTTTCCAGCTTCTGTTTGTATACAGGCCTTTGGGTTTATGTAAGGACTTAAATTATTTCAGCTTGAGAATTTTATCAAAGTAAGAATGGTACAAGCCAGAACTTTCAGTTGTCAATTCTTGCATTGAGATTGTATTGCTTGTAGGAAGTTTTTATCAACATAAACCTTTCTACTGTTAGTTTTCATCAGACTGTGAAGTGGTCATTGAATATATGTTAATTTCTTATTTTACAGGAGTCTCATGAACAGTGTGTTCAGTGGATTGTAAGGTTCATACATAGTCAACATAGTCCTAAGAGAATTTCTTTTCTATATGACTGTTTAGCAATGGCTGTGGAGACTGGATTACTGCCACCCAGGTACGTTTCTTTCAGATAAACTGAAATAATGCAATGGAGAATTTGTTATAGGAGATCAGTTGCTTAAAGCTAATAATAATAATAATAATACATGACATCAGCTTAGAAAATATATGACTCCTTGTTTTTTTCTTGAATTTTTCTAGAATGGTTTGTGAATCTCTGCTGAATTCTGACAATCTGGAATGGGAAAGGACACAGCTTTGGTCTCTGACATTTAAGCTTGTTCAAAAAATAATTGGTGGTGTAGACTACAAGGTAATAACTATTTGTTTTACAATGCAGCATTAATACCTTCCTTATATTTTTATCTGGGTGTATACTTAAATTTATTTATTTATTTATTTATTTTTAAGATTTATAAGGCTGCCCAACTCAAACAGTGTGACTCTGGGTAGCATACAGCATAAGGAACAAACAATAAACCACCCCTACCCCCATATAACATTAAACATATACAATATATAATATAAAATATAAAATTAAATGCCTATCATAAAGATAGGAGATAGGTCTATAGTTTAAGTTTACTCCAATATAGGTTATAATCATCTATGGGTTACAACATAGGCTGTAATAAATTCAGTAGTAGAATGGGAGGGGCCTTAATTACTTGCTCCACTGATTGTATTATTTTAGCTGATGTTACAATCTAGATCAGTCAACAGTACAAGTATTTCTAGTTGTAAGGGTTCATACGAGAATATCTCAGATGGATTGGAACATCCATTGTCCTTCTCATCCATTTCCTTCACTCACTGTTACATGATTATATGCCATGCGTGCATATCTGATCTATAGGACCAGATATAAAAGGACTTTTGGAGTCTTGGGTTGGGGTCATGGCACAGCCATTAGCGATAAACGGAGGTATCAAATACAGGAAGTACTCTGTCATCTGTCTTGATTCCACTTCATCAGGAAGACCACTGCTCAGCAGTTTGCTTCTGTACATAGTTCTCCTAAATTACATCAGGGAAGCAGCATATAACTTCTAACTAGAAAGAGAGCTGAATAACATCTAAGTCACTTGAAGAATCTATGCAGATGTTTTTTTGTGTGTGTTTTTTTAAAGAAGTGGCAAATCAGGCAGCACAATTTGAATGAAAAAGCTTATGTATTACCCTCTAGATGCAGTAGAATGACAGGCATAAAATGTTTTTGTACAATTTGATATTAGTGTTGTAATTTTAATTTATTAATTTTATGCGAAATTAAAAGGTGAATTTTGAATTTTACATTTTTCTCATAATTTTCTTATGTAACTTGATCTGTATGTTGTAGGGTGTACGAGACCTTTTGAAGGGTATCCTAGAGAAAATCCTAACTATTCCTAACACCGTGAGCTCTGCTGTTGTGCAGCAACTATTAGCAGCAAGAGAGGTAAGCATATAAAATGGAGAAAATTAGACCTGAGTGGTTAGCTGTTTTCCAATCTAATAGTTCAAAGTTTATATTTAAATTTTGCAAAAAGAGAGAGAACTAAGAAACATTTGAGACTTTTCTGCTAATGAAAGTTCTTTTGTAATTTGCAGAATATATCTGGAGGTATTAATAGCACTCTTAGGTAGATGTCGCTTCTTTGAGATACTCAGCATAGGCAGTTCTTTACTTAAAGTGGTCTATTTACAGATGCTAAAAATATGTGGATTGTAATATTTAAATTTAGTTTGCTTTGCTGCTTTTGTGTTATGTCCTAAAGCAAAGAACTATTCTTTATTCTCCAGTATTCCTGAAAATATTTAATGTTTTCAAATGTAATATTTTCATTGCATTTACGATGTATTTTACTTTACTCTGAAACATGCACAATTTAAATAAGGCTCAGCATATTTTGAGCATAATTTTAAAAACTGAATATATATTTATTTAATTTCAGTATGATAGGAAATCTTATCTCGTAGCAAATAGCCTCATAGTTGAAATAGGACCACTGAGAAACAAGAACATGACTGTAGGAACCCACAGGATCTTCAGAAATAGGCAAAGGTTTGGGAGGTAGACCTTCTCCAGTGAATACAAAATATCTAACAATTTTTTAAAAAAATATCTGGAACTTAGAGGAATAAAATGGAAGTATTTCTGAAAGAAGACATGGGAAGCTGACTAGAGCTCTGGACAGGATTTCACACTGCACCATTTCATTTGTTGGTTTTATAAACGTAACTCTTCTCTGGTTTGTTGGTTTTTCCTTAGGTTGTTGCATATATTTTGGAAAGGAATGCATGCTTATTGCCTGCTTACTTTGCAGTCACAGAAATCCGAAAGTTGTATCCTGAAGGAAAACTTCCTCACTGGGTAAGACTTGATGTTTAAAAAAACAAAACAAAACAATATTTTGACCTTAGGAAGCAAAGCAGATGTCTCAAGAGCGATGGTCCTTTGTAAAACTGGCGCTTAAGGCATAACAGATCTCTGTATATTGTATGATATCCTGTATGGTCAGTTTGTGCCTTTTAAACTCTAGATCACTATAAGTCATTTTGATTCCTTGTGAAATCACAAGAATTTGTTGTATCACTCTTCCGGTAATTGAAATGACTATCTAGTCATATTGACAGTCCAGCGAAATTTATTGGTCTGCACAACTTTCTAGTAATAGTACAATATCTTTTTTAAAGTTATTATTGTTCTATTATTATATGAAGGAAATTTTTAATACAAATAAAAGTTTAAAAGAATATAAAAATAGGCAATATAGATAAGAGAGCCAGTTTGGTATAATGGTTAAGATATCAGGCTAGAAACTGGGAGACCATGAGTTCTAGTCCCACCTTGGGGACAAAGCCAGCTAGGTGACCTTCGGCAGTCACTCTCTCTCAGCCCTAGGAAGAAGGCAATGGCAAACCACTTCTGAAATCTTGCCAAGAAAACTGCGCAGGCTTGTTCACATAGTCACCAGTTGTCAACACGGACTCAAAGGCACAACAAAAGAAAAAAGAAAACAGATAAACAACCTAAAAATAAAAGATAGGTGGATACCCAACAGATCTAAAAATAACATATCATTAACATGGTCTAATACAGTGTTCCTTAAAGTATGGTCCTAGGACCCCTGAGGGTCCCCCAAGACCCACTTGGGTCTGCAGAATAAAAAATATTTGCCAGCCTATGTTGAAAAATAATACAGTATTAAAATCCCATGAAACAATCATGAGAAACAACAGCAGCAAATGCATCAATTTTAATTTTTAATATGGTAAGTGTTCATAAATGTAACCCATACAGACAAGGTCTTTTGGGATCCTTCATAATTTTTAAAACTGGGAAGGGGTCCTGAGAGAAAAAAGTTTAAGAAACACTGCTCTAGTACATCATTAAGACCTTATGATACTATAAGACATTTTATATCCATTTTCGAATCAAAGTATGTCTCTATAAAACTTCAAAGGTTAACACAATTGAAGTCATTAAAAAAGGAGAGAAAAAGAGAAACTAGAAATAAGTTAGAATGTAAATTCTAAAACTCAGGTTGTGGATGTGGCATAAATCCATGTATAAAATTGTAAAATTAAATAGAATTTAATTGTATATCAGATTTACTTTTAAATACTTTTATTCTAGACGTCAAAACATACTTCCACAGTTTGGTTAGCAGTTCTTCCAAATAGAAATCAAAGATCTTCTTCAGTATCAAGCATGTGAAGTCCTTGCAACTGTTAATATATACAATGCCAATTTGATACATTTTGAAGGAATATACTTTAGTGAAGTTCAATAAAAATATCTCGGGATGGAATGGGTTTACAAATTTCAGAATTTTTTAATAGTTTGAAATAGAAAATTTAGTCTTGGTAGAATATTCGTTTTAACTTCTGCAATTCTTTTTAACCAAGACTAATTTAATTTCTTTCATCTTGAAATTTCTGTTATATGTTTCCAATTTGATAATTATTCTGGAATAGAATTTTATTGTTTTTTGCCAAAATGATTCCTAAATATTTGATCTTTTTAGCAGTAGTAATAAAGCCTGTTAATCAGTACACAAATTATTGTTCATCCTCTGTCAAATTCCATGTCAGCACTTGAGTTTCCTCTTTACGGATTTCTGTATCCTGACACCAAGCCATGTTGTTGTATATGTTCCATCAGCATTATTAAGGAGACTCTGGGCTGAGTGATTGTTAGTATAATGTCATCAACAAATAATTTCAATTTGTTGTTCTTGTGCAGATAATTTGACTCCTGAGATTCTTTTTTTTTTTAATGTATTTGAATTGGCAGTGCTTCTAATACTAATAAAAATAAAGGAGAGAGAAAATCCTTGGTTTGTTCCCTTCAATATAGTGCATTACTGAGAAGTAAGACCATTTACAACAATTTTAACTTTTTGTTCTTTAGAAATACTCTGTATCCATGTTAAAAAATTAGGATTTAAGCCTATTTATTTTAAGAGCTGCAACCCAAAAGGTCCATTCCAAATTGTCAAAGGCTAAAAATAAATCATGGCCATTTTTTGTTATTTCTGATTTATCAATAACATTTAAAATACTTCTGATATTATTTCTAATATATTTCTTCACTTGATCAGGATGTATCATGTTAATCAGAAAGCCTGTTAGCAAGGATTGCTGTAAAGAGTTCATAATCCACATTCAGTAAAGAGATGG